CCCAGGCTGATGCTAATACTAAGGGTTGAACTAGGCAAGCTGATAGCAGGGGCCCATTGCTGAGGACAACATCCACACAACTTGTTGAACATGAGAAGTTGAGCTGGTGCCTATATGGAGCCTTAGCAGGTCAGCCACAAACACTTTGAGATTGACTACAATCTCTCCTTTGTGCAAAATATGCTAGGGCAATGGTGGCACAGGATTTGTGGAGGTAGCCAGCCAATGTATAATTAGACTTAAAGCACACTCTGTTATGATAAATTTTTCCACCAAAAGGCGCCTGAGCCCTACCGCCACCTGCCTGCCTCAACTAAGAAATGCATATATGATCTAAAAGAAACTTGAAGCAGCAAATACAGGGCCTATATGGGTCTACACCAGGTCCACTGCATATTTATTATAGATATTAGCTTAGTGCTATAAGACTCTTGATTATGAGAACAAGTAGGTCTCTGACTCCTTTGCCTGCTGTTGGAACTCTTTTCTTCCTCTTGCGTTTCCATGTCCAACTTAGATATGATCATTTTTGCTTCATTTTACTATATTTCATTTTGTAATGTTGGGTTGCTGTTTCTTAGAATCCCATTGTTTTCTAAAGAGAGACAGAGACTGGATCAGGGAGAGAGGGGAAGTGGGGAAGGACAAGAGAGAATAGGGAGAGGAAACTAAAGTCAAAATATATTATATGAAGAAAGAACCTATTTTCAGTAAAAATTACAAAAATGAGGCTATTAACTTGGACATTAGTGAATGGAACCATAATTAAAATTGAAACTGTACATACCTCCCGATTCATTAGCTTCTCCTGTGACGATTCATCACATAACATACGTGCACACCTTACAGAGTTATTAGTGATATATAAATATTAGAAACAACCAAATACGATGTTTACCAGAAGAATAACAACTTTTCATAGGTAAAAATAATACATCTGAGACATATCATATTGAGTGAAACACTGGGATGCAGTCAAAAACTCATTTTTATGTAAACAACATCAAAAGATTTAGAATTCAGCTAAATCAAAACCGTTTTTGACGCAAAGAGATAGAGGAATGAGTCTTGGGGAGACAAAGGACATCCTAATCTAACTCATAATATTTTACTTCCTAAGTAAAGCCAGAGAAAATATGAAAATATAACACAATGGACAACACTGCTGTTCTGGGAAGTTGAGAATTTAGGTGCTTATCACAATAACCTCTTCTATTGAATGTTGATTAAGGAGCAGTTAACTACAACAGAATCATGCTGAGAAGACAGCATGATTGTAGATCAACTTTTAAAAAAACTAAAATTAGTAGTGCATATGTAATTTTAAAACTTAATCTCTCTTGCTTCTTCTATGAATTTTTGTTCCACATTTACTTTTTCTATTTAAATAGCTTTATAAAATAAATTCTTACAAACATGTAAATGAATACTTTAAGCATAGTACTAGATGATCATGCATGGAGACACATGCAAAATTATCAGGCAATATTTAGTAGAGAATGATCAATTGGGGTTTTAAAACTTGTAAACTCATACTTCGATAAACCTGACTATAAGAATACATCTTATTTTCAGTAGAATTAGTGATCCTCAAACACATACTGAAATGGCTTTGCACTGTACAGTATGGTGGAAGTGATGGCACGCTACCGGGTGAAAGAAGTACTTTCCTCTCTAAAAGTCTCTGTCTTTCTCTAACATTCCTTTTATGTTTCTGTCCTGCTGGAAGCACATTGCAGAAGTTCACAGGGTGAAAACCTGACTTCCCACAACATAATAAGCTTTGATATGAAGCCATGTGTCCCACCTTATTCTGAAGAGAGTACAGATCCCAGGAGCAACACAAGCTACTAAATGAACTTCAGATGCAGGCAGGTGGTAGCATCTGTAAACAATAACAAAGCTGCACTAGGAAGTACGGTGCTTCTTGTTGTGTATTCACAGGTCATTTTACAGTGCTAGTAAAATTATATTTCTTTGCCAATAGTTTTATAATAGAACATATATTAGCTATATCAAATAATTTATTACTCTTTTGAGATTATTTAATATTAGATTCCCATTCATTTATTTAGCTATTCTGTTATTATGGGAAACTACACTGCCTGATTTTTAAAAATATTTTAATATATCATCAAGATATATTCAGTGATTCAGATATTGTTGGGTTAGATTTGTTAAAATCACCCCCTCCTTTCTTCTCTCTCTCTCCTTCTTTCTCTCTCTCTCTCACACACTCTCTCTCTGTGTGTCTGTGTGTGTGTGTGTGCGTGCGTGCGTGCGTGCGTGCGTGCGTGCGTGCGTGCGTGCATGCGTGCGTGCGTGCGTGCGTGCGTGCGGGTGTGTGTGTGTGTGTGTGTGTGTGTGTGTGTGTGTTACATACACCTATGTAGATTCCATAAAAGGTTATCAATTGTTATGCATCACTCTTTCCTTTAAGGCAAAGTCTCTCCTTGAACCTGGAGAACAGCTTTTTCAACTAGAATGGTAGCCAGAAAACTGCAATGATCCACATGTCTCCAACCCCAAGAAAATTATCTGTGCATGAGAGAACATATCCATCTTGTTCACTACTTGGTTGTTGTTCTGATTTTGATATTGCAGGACTTTATTTGTTCTTTAGGATTAGTTGAGAATTTAGTTTTTTACAATGGATTGTAGGAGAACTTATATTTCTTTTAAATATTTTCTAGAATTCTTCTGGGAAGCTAGAATTTTCTGGTTACCTATTTCTTCCTTTACTTTTATCTTAATCAAGCTATAATATTTCTAGATCTTATGTTACTAGTATTATTCACTTAGCACTGTTCCAGTACTAAAGAAGGACAGTATTTTCCATGTCCCACTTGTCCTATAAGTTTTTCATGGCTTCATGTTATCTTCACTTCTGTTGATTTCCATACAAATGAAATACACATAAAAGTTGTATTCTTTTTAATCAATGAACATCTTAAAGAAGAATACTATGGAGATGAGAAGAACCTTTCTTATTCCATCCAAAGAAGTAAGTCCTCAAGGTAGCATCACTAGTGATGTTCAACTTAGTCATATGGACTGTGGACTAAACAGCTTTACATCTCTGTTTCTATGGCTTATTCTCCACAAGTAAGTTACTAAGCGAAGCACACAAGTTGCAGTATATAGATTAAAACTCTGTTTCCTGGTGAGAGAATATTAATCAACTTATGGATTTAAAAAAACTGAGCCTTTAAACTATAGATAATCTACTGCGTTTAGTGGGAATAAGGAGTTTCCCTGCCCCAGTGTGGTGTTTAGGGTTTCTTTTTTCATGATACTTCTGAATCTTTCTTGGCCTGTGTCATTATTTCATACTCAGAGTTGGTCATTTTCTGACTTCCTGCAGGTCTCTCACCCTTGGATGATGTCAACCTTCATCCTTTAGTAGTTTGCTCCTTGAACTTCAGTCTCCATGTTTCTACCCCTAGAATCCCTGCTGCATTACCACCCACATAGAGAACACAGCTCTTCCTGTCTTCTGCCTGAGGTTTGCACTGTAAATGACTCTTGGACTCTTTCTTGGAAGGCATAGGACTTGATTGTTTCCCACATCTCAAAGTCAATTCTCTCATTGCCTTTTAATGGGATCTACAGAGCCAGTGTTTCCTACATTACTGTTTTCATTGGGGTTGTTAATTTTCCCTTTCTAAGTATCCTTCTGGAAGTAACAAACTTGGTTCAGTTTTATTTCTTTCATTATTATCCTAACATGGTCAGGATTACTTGTCTATGTGCTATGCATTGACAGCTGAATTTCAATCTAGACATTTTCTGTGGCCTTGTTAATAAGGAGAATCATGACCAGTGCACATACCTGAGCCCATTGTGTATTCAAAGAAAACTAGCACTTCTCATTCTTAACAAGAGACATGTCATGTATCCCACTGACATTTATGCTAACTTCTCTGGCTATCTGCTTGTGATAATCACTTTCAGCCCCCAAGCGCATACCTCACTAAGTATTCAAACTTTTTCTAAAACATCTGGATGGCTTATGCCTTCCACAAGCACTATGCCCTTGCTTCTCTTCTCTTTTTTTCTTTTTCCTGGTGACATAGCTGCCTTAATTGTTCCAGATGATATTCCTGCTAAGTTTAAACATTTCCTTTATGTTTTTTGCAACAGTTCTACCAATCTCATCATTTTTTTCTTCTAATCCTCCCTATGACCTCTTTACAGATTGTAATGCATATGGAATTGAACTTTTTAATATACCTATATTGACTCTCCAAGATCTTCTCCATTCTTTATTATCCATTTGTTTCATGCCATGCTGTATTGTTAATGGACATTCAAGTGCTTATTGGTTTACATTTAAATTAAATATCACTCCTAATATATAATCTTTTTCCTAATACAAAAAGTTAGCTACGAGCTTTCATTCTCATAAATATTCTGTCTTCTGCAATTACACTGAATTGAATTTCTAGAGTTCTTCCTTTCCCTGAAGTAAGTTATTTTAAATAACAATGAAACCTCCAGTGCAAGTATCATTGCAGAGTTTCCTCAGAAGTGCAAACAATTAAAGAGCTTTTCCACATAAATTCAACTTAAGTTATAATGCCAAGGTACAGCACCAAGCAAAAGTTGACTACACTCCTGAGAAGGGACTCCAATGTTCAAAGCACCCTACAATTCATATTTATTAGGGCTGTTCTGGTGGTGCACACCCTTAATTCCAACTGTGACTGCAAAGACAGTGTGATCTAGGTCATGCATTCATGGCCAGCCAGGGCTACACATAATTCATATTTATTTTTTTCCTAAGAAATAAAAAAGTAGTTTTACATTTCCCTTAATGGCAACTGGTTATCCCAGAATTTGCTTACAACAGAAAAATATTCTTCAGACCAGAAAATGCATTGGAATTGATCATGTACTAATTATTATGACAGATAAGATGTCACTTTTCTTAAGGTTGATTAAAAGAACTCTGGAAATTTTCCCATCACATGATGACACATAACAATCAAATCAGAGCTGCTTTTCATCAGCTTTTAGAAAATCAGGTCTAGAGATAGAACTGGGTCTGGGGACATGTACATAGTCTTAACTGTAGGGGATGTTTAGCTGGTCCTGATTACCACAGACTCAGAACAGGGGGAATAATCATATCATATTTCTTTTTAAATGCTCTGTTGTGCAGTTAGTTTGTCCTTCCTGTGTTGCAATTATTAATGCAGTTCAGCTGAGTGCTCATACAAGCATATAGATATAAGCTTTACACAAATAACACATTGAAAGTGTTTTATGGATAATTTGAACTACCAAAGTATCAAAAGTAAAAATGTCCCATAGAAATTTTATACTTGTGTGTTTGTCTTACAGTTTGTTATTCAGCCTCAACTTAACAACATGTAAATTGTAATTTTTAATGGCCATTCTTTGTCAATATTCTTATAATTTTTATATTGTCTGCATTTAAAATCTACATTATGATTGAATTATGACTTACTGGTCTATTTCTGACAAGGGTATATTATGAGTTAAAAAGCACACATGTTAATTTGAGCATTATCTTATTTTAGTCAGCTCCTTCCTTAGATTAGAATTTTGATGTCTGGTTCCAGCCAGTATCTGCTTTGGTCATGGCAATAAATGGAAATCGTGTCTTTATACCAACATAATTTCTGTGATGAGAACACAGTACAGAAATGTTAACATTTTGCCCACTCCTGACAGTAGTCATGAACAGCTCCATTTTGAGCTTTTCCATATGATTCACATCAATTGACAGGGCACTTGTTTTCTTCCTTTATCTACTATTGTATTAGACCACTGAGACAAAAGGGAAAATAATCACCCAATCAAACTTTCTAACAGTGGATAGTAGCACACCAATTTTGTTTAAAGGAGGCATGAGTTCACGATGCAAAAACATTCATAAACATAGTCAGGTCAACGTAAGTAGCTATTTTTTTAATATATCTTCTATTTTTATACTTATACTTTTATTCAATACCTCTTATGCATTATATTACCAACTATCATTTAAAGAGAGTAAAGGACAGGAAGAAGGAAGGAAAGAAGGAAGAAAAGAAAGAAGGAAGGAAGGTAGGAAAAGAAAATATTAATTTGGGCTTCAGCTACTAGTGTTTAGAATTCAGCCTATTTAGGGTTTTACTTTGTTTTGTTCTTTTACAAAATAGAATGTGTTCTCTAGTTATATTGAAAAAAGAACATTTGTAGTTGATATTTGAAGATAATAAAATTCTCAGGGATTCTGAATATACATGAGAGATGACTGAAGTGGATATTTCAATACATAATTTCAAATTATTTTATGGTAATACAGAGGAAAGGACAATTCAGTTCTCTTAACATTCCAAAAGTTAAACTGACTAGCTCTTATGCCAAACAGAGGTATCTCTGGTATTAGAACCAAAATGCATTTCATTCTAAAAATCTCTACTTTTCAGAGGCGTCAAACAGCTTTGGTGGAGTGGCAGTGGGGTTTAATAAGTGGTATCCTAGCATGTCTTGGCTCATGCCTAGGGAAATCAATTAATAGCAATGCAATGATTAACAGCACTATGGGCACTGTTCCCAGCATCAATAATTTCCATTATCACCATGGCAGGAATATCATAAAAGAAATACAATTTGTTATCTTGTTAAAATTAGTGTTTTTGCCACCTCTTGGCAGCTTCAAAGACATTGTAAATCGTTGAGGGTCACAGCTTATGCTGTTTAGGTGAATATTACACTTTTTGATTTTCAGTGAGGACATATTACTTTAACATTTGAACCAAAAATACAGTGTTCGCTTCTCTTCAAATGAAATAAAAAAAAGCATAACATAACCTTCTTATTGATAGAGGACTTGACGTGGCTTGACTCTTATAAACAGAAATAGCTGGAACCGTCCTTTTTTTTTTTTTACTGGTTACTTTGCTGCCACTCCATATGTCCAGCACAAGAGGCCTTAAAGTATCTCTTTAGAAAATAGAGAAGGAAAAAGAATAAAGACAGCTGCAAGTTAACTTATTTAAAAGTGAATACTGCAATAAAACACTTAAGAAAAATCCTATGCCAATAACTAGGAACACTCTTTTCCTAAATATCAAAAGATACTCTAGAAATCAAATAGATTACCTCATTCACCATACTTCCTATATATAATGGCAATTCAAGGATGTGAAGCTATTCTGGTCATAGATACCACAGGTGTCATTGTCTATAAACACAATGTTAGTTTAGTTTTTTACTTGTATAGTAGTTCTGTCTTGAGCTTCACCTTTTTGTAACTCTAGAGGTCATATGACTAGGCTTCACATCCATAAAGACATTTACTTTGGGGTCGTTGCTTCATTTTTATATCTAAATGGTCAGACTTTGCAGACCTTCAAGGAGTTTTACAATCCAGATCCACAAATATTAATGCCATCCAATAACTCTCAAAAAATATTCCAGAAGCAGACTCCAATAGAAAAGCAGCACCCACTTCTGATTTTGTGTTCCAAGGAGAATATTGTACTTAAAAATAAAAAGCCTGTGTTCTATGCTACATCATTTGCAAAAAATTTGTATGTGTGATTCAGCCATTTTTCCCATTTTGTTTACTGACTAGTTGCTATTCAGTCTTCTTTGTCAACCAGGCTAATATGGGTCTCCACAGGTATGTGTTTACATTCATACTTTAAATTATCCCACATTATTTCAATTTTATATTAAGTATATTTTTCCTTATGTTTTAATTTTAGCTAGCACTTCAGAACTTACAAAGACTTTGTAATTGTTTTGTTGATTCTGTTTATTAGGACACATTCAGTCTTTATGCTGAAGACTGGGGTCTTTCTATGAATTCTTTGGTTAAATAAATTTTTATTTAGATTAAAAGCAATCTTATTTCACATACCAACAACAGTTCCCTCTTCCTTCTGTCCTCCCATGCCCCCCACAAATCCCCTACTCCATAACCCATCCACTTCCCAGGGAGGGAAAGGCCCTCCCATGAGGGAACATCAAAGTCTGACACATCATTTAGAGTAGGGCCTAGACTATGAAAATTCAGGAAAGGTTTGTTTCTGGTTTGCTTTTCATATTATTCATTTGAAATTGTGCAAGGTACTTTTTATATGATGAACACTAGTCAGTAGGGTTGAAGTCTCTAGGAAGTTACCAACTCAACGTCTCCATGTTCAGTGAGTTGTGTAGGTGTTGTCCTCAGCAATAGGGTCAAAATGTAACCTTGGCAATAGCCTGAGTTGTTTGGCAATTCCTATGGGGCCCCTTAACAATGTTATTAGAAGTGATCCATTCCTGAAACAATAGCGTTTATTTTGTAACCATAGATATTCAGTTGAGGCTCTGTCTCTCCCATTATTTGAAAATTCGATTTAGATCACCTCCATATATGTGTATATTTTAGGAATCTTCCATTGTAATGGACTCCCATGTTCCCTCAGACATCCCTTGGCTTCAGATGTCTCTCCTATATTCCTTCCCTCACCACCCTGTTCTCTCTTCTTTCTTGTTTGACCCTTGAATTCCACCCCATACCCCCCCTGTCATCCATAACTATGTATTCTATTTCTTCTTCCCAGGGAGCTCCATCCCTTCACATTTGTCTATACCTAACATCTGTGGTTATATAGATTATAGACTTCTTATTGAAGACTTAACAGCTAGTATGGTGGCCGTGTTTATTTCCCCACAATTTCAGAGTATAAGCAACATATCATCCAACAAATCAAAATATAAATAATTTTGTGACCAGGAAACCTCTACAGATTACTTTTTTTAAGTATACCCAGACTTCTTCTTCTTCCCTATTTTGCAAATCTGGTTTGTATCTGACATGTAACAAACAGATCTTCATTTGTACATGTTTTCCATCACAACAATGTTACACCAATAAATTTGCAAAGTATTTAACTGTATGTATTTGTCATTTTCACTTACTACTCTTCAAGAAATTCTAAGAAGGCATAAATGGTTGGGCATCGCTAAAGCATTTTCTAAGTCTCAATTTAGAAAAGATTTAAATTCTCTTCCAAGTGATTTGTAGAATTAATGAAGTTTCTTTCAATCTTATTCTAAATTTTACATTAAATTCATAAGCTTGACAGCAGTGAAACTCATTTTCAAAAAATGAATATGGTGGAAATGAGCATTCTCTCTGATCAAAAGACGCTTTACATAGTTACAATAGTCATTACAGTGTGATATTGGCCTGTCACATGGACCAGTGGAGCAGAATAGAGAGGATCAACGATGGATCTGCAAACATGTCTAACTTATTATTGCAAGAAGTCAATTTCCATGAAGAAAACAGACTGTTGAACAAATGATGTGGGTAGACTTGAATGTCCACAGCCAAAAAATACTTGCCACCTTGTTTAAATTCCATACATGTAAGTATTGTATCAAAATGAATATTGGCTCCAATGTAAATTTCAAAACAATAAAACCTTAAAAAAATCTTCGCAGAAAATTTTCAAGGCTTCACTTCTAGGTATAGTTTATACCTACTGAGTTAACTGAGTTAAATGTTTTTGATGGATTTTGCCTTACTGAGGGTGAACAATTACAGTGAACACAGCACCTATCTTTGTAAAGCATTTGTCTTCCATAGAGTTTGCAAACATCCACACGTTTTAATAGTTTATTTTGCCTCTCTGTCTCCAGGATTTAACCAATGACATCACTTCTTGACTTCTTGGCAGTATATGGCACTGTTTTGTTATTTGCACTGTCGTTACTGCTATTTAAAGTGATTTGCAAATCTTTAAACTTGGCATTTAAAAAATTGAATTTGAAATTCTTAAGAACACAAGATTGAAGTTTAATATTAGTTTTCGACTTTAATTACTTAAAGTTTAATTTTCATGTCACCAATGTACTGGGTAGTTGATTCGTAAGTTGATTTTGATGCTATCACAGGACCACCTATACCTAGGGCAAGTCAGTAATATTGTTGATAAACTTTAACAGGCAATCGCACAATTAGAGTGTGAAGGCATAAACCTTGGTTGTCCAGTGAACTAGAAAGAAAGAATAGGCAGGGGAGGCGGAGATTACTTTCCTAAAAGGGAGCAATCAAGCTGCTTTTTCAAAATACTCTGCTTGGAATATATGTCCATTTAAGCTACTCATGTTTCCATCAGCATCCT